AAAATATATAAATTATTTAAAAATTTAATAAAAATAAAAATTATTAAAATTATTTCAGTTTTAAGAAATAATAGAGAGATCCATTGTACACTTTGCCCAGTTTCTCCCAATAGTCAAATTTTGCAAAACTATGTATAATGTAACAGCCTGAATATTGACATTGATACAATACAATCCACTAATTTTATTCAGATTTCCCCAGTTTTACTTGTACTCGTTTGTGTGTTTGTGTGTATTCAGTTCTAAACAATCAGTCAAGATATTGAACAGTTAATTTCAACACCACAAAGATCCTTCCCATTGCCATTTTACATCCACACCCACTTCCTTCCCACCCTCAACCCCTGGCAACCACTAATCTCTCCTCCATTTCTAAAATGTTGTCATGTCAAAAATGTTATATACTCAAAAAGCTAAACATAGAGTTACCACATGACCCAGCAATCCCACTCCTATGTAGATTCACAAGAGAACTGAAAATATATATTCACCTAAAAACTTATAAATGAATGTTCATAGTAGCATTGTTCATAAAGCCAAAAAGTGGACACAACCCAAATATCCATCAGTTTATGAGTGGATAAGCAAAATGTGGTATATCTATACAGTAGAATATTATTCAGCCATAAAAAATGGGTGAGTACTGATTCATGCTAGAACACAGATGAACCTTGAAAACATGCTAAGTGAAAAGAAACCAGTCCACAACAGGCAACATATCGTATGATTCCATTCATATGAAATGTCTAGAATAGGTAAATCTGTAGAAATAGATAGTAGATGAGTGGTTGCCAGGGCCTGAGTGGAGGGGGGAATGAGGAGTGACTACTAATGGGCATAGGGTTTCTTTAGGGGATAATGAAAATGTCCTAGAATTAGATTATGGTGATGGTTGAAAAACCTGTAAATATACTAAAAACTACTGAATTGTAGACTTTAAAGGATGAATTTTATGGTAGGCAAATTATATCTCAATTTAAAAAGTCAAACATAAAACAGTTCAGTATGGTTGCACAACTGTATGAATATACTAACAACCATTCAACTGTATAGTTTAAATGGGTGAATTTATGAATTATATCTCAATAAAGCTGTTTTTTAAATGTTATATAAATAGAATCATACATATGTCACCTTTAGGGATTGGCTTTTTCACTCAGCATAATTTGCTGGAGATTTGTTCAAGTTGTTGCATGTATCAGTAGTTTGGTCCTCGGTATTGCTGAGTCCATGATATGTATGTACCACAGTTTGTTTAACCATCCACTTGTTGATAAATATCTGGGTGGCTTCCAGTTTTCTGGCTATTAC